CCCCCCGCGCGGGATGCTGCAGCCCCCTGACCCCGCCGGTGCAGGGGTGTCTGCGGGGAGAGCCTCGCTAGGCTAGAAGGCTGTAGCTCTGGATGGGGAGATCATCGCTGCGGGGGCTCCTTCCCTCCGTCCCGCCCTGCCGTGTGTCCTAGCAGCCCCCGGCCCTGCCGGTGCAGGGGTGCCCGCGGGGAGAGCCCTGCACGATGCTGTAGCCTCGCAGGGCTGATCTCTGGGGCTCAGGTGTGGGTTTTACCTGTTTTACCTGCCCCTTGTCCCGCTACTGACGCTCTGCCAACTCCCTGTCCCACGTGGAGCAGGTTCACCTCCGTTAGTCGGCAGGAAACTTTTAACCTCCGGTGGATGCTGCAGTTTTATAGCAAAGTGGCTCAGTCCCGCTCTGGCCCCAGGCAGAGGCTTTGCAGAGTTCTTGCAGAGCACAGAGAACACCAACTCGACCAAAAGCGTGGATAGCTTTTCCTGGGGTCATCACACCCAAAGAGCTTGTTGCTGGCTCCAAGGAGCAGCAGCAGCACAAGAGAAGGGCAGGAGTGGGTGTCTGGCAGAGGCAGCCTGCAGCAGCCACGGCAGTCACACTGGCCTGGGCTGCCAGGGAGCCCCAGCCAGGATTGCAGGGCCTTGAGCCTCTTTGGGCTGAAGAAGTTTGGCTCTAGCTCTGCAGCTCCTCTGAGCACAGCTGCATGAGTGGCAAGGCACGAGATGGACTTGCACATCAGTGCTTGGTGTGATTTAACACTTAGTGTAGTCAATTCTGAAAGCATCTGCTGCTGTCAGAGCTGTCTTTGAATGGAAGGTACCCACGGAAGTCTGAAAACCACAATCTGTGGTGGTACTCTAGCAAACAAATGTTGAAATTAGTCAAGGAGAATATGATATAAAAGTAATGACTGCCACTAAGAGGAGATCATCAGTTTCCTTCTAGATAATCTTAAACCTACCTGTTTAACTGCCTTCTGCTGCAAGTGAAAGAGGTAACATTTATTAGTCATTATTTGCAATTTGAGTCAAGATCTAAGCTTTTATTTTCACAGAATCATAGAAGTTTAGGGGTTGGAATGGACCTTACAGATCATCCAGTCACAACCCCTGCCCTGGGCAGGGACACCTCCCACCAGAGCAGTTTGCTCAAGGCTTCATCCAGCCTGGCCTTGAACACTGCCAGGGTTGGGGCATCCATAACCTCCCTGGGTAACCTGTGCCAGTGTCTGTCTCACTACCCTCACAGTAAAAAACTTTTTCCTAATATCTAACCTAAATTTCCCTCCTTCAGTTTGAATCTGTTACCCCTTGTCCTGTCATTGCAGTTCCTAACACAGAGTCCCTCTCCAGCTTCCCTGTAGCCCCTTCAGATACTGATAGGCTGCTGTGAGTTCTCTATGCAACCTTCTCTTCTCCAGGCAAGAAGAGTTAATATATTATTCTAGTTAATATAACCATTGTTTTTCTGTAGAAATCACTTGAAGGAATAACATAAATTGTGCTTTTGTTTTAGGCAGAGAGGAAAGGCTTTGCATGCCTCTTTGTGGAGGTGTGAGTAATCCTTCACTTTTCAGGTATCCATTTTTGAAATTTTTGATTGAGGCAGGTTGCACTAAATGAAGGGCTGAGTTCAGAACGTGCTAGTTAAGCTGAAACCCAAGTCCTGTTGAAATGGATGAAGCTAGAGTAAATTTAGCTGCTCTTCTGAAAAAGGATGCAGAGAGAGGTTTGGTATGCTTTGACATTTCATATTCGTTCAGTTTGATTTATTTCATGTGCTGGACACAGAAGCTCAAAGTTCAAATTTTGAGATTACTTATTAACTGTTTTTAATTTGACCTTTACTTTATTTGCAGTGGGTTTTTTGTTGCATGCCTTGGATTTTTCATTTTTCACTTTTTTTTCTTTTGTCCTGCAAGAAATTTGCATGCTCTTCTGACTGTTCAGAGCATTTTACTACTCTATTCCAAACTGATGGGGAAGTCTTCTGGGTTTTTTATTAGCCTTGCTTTATAAACAGATCTTATACAATATTATTATACGAGATAAAAATGTATTGTTTTGCTTCTTTGTGACATGTGTAACATCACAAATGTTCAGCTTGGGTTTGAGATTGTGTGTCCTTCTCCATTCTCATGGTTCATTACTCATTTCCAATGGAATTCCTGTGTTTAGGAATTTAGGTCTTGACCTAAAAAGATTTCAGACATTTGATTTATTCTGTTCAATAGAGTGTGTCATGAGAGGTTTTTGAAGGTGTAAATAATGCTAGCTGAAATTCTCTGGAGTGGTTGAGTGATAATTAATGGAAAAATACTTCATGCTTATATTTAACTCAATTTTTTTGTGTGCTGTTCTTGCAAAAACACATATGGCTCTACTGAGGCCTACAAAGTGTAGGTTCTGTTCAAAGACAAACCATTTAATCTGAGACTAAAGATTCTTAACAGGTCTACAGTGAGAACTTCTCTTTTCCTTCATGTATGATTTTAGAAAATAAACAAGGATTTGCAGAAGTTTAGTTAAGACTTGTATAAGTGTAATTTCTCTGGTGGTTGCTATAAGGAGTCCCAGCCCAGAGGAAGAGCCTGAGAGGAGAATTTTGAACTCAAAAGGAAGGTGCAGCTGTACTACTCTGGCACTAATCACACAGGGAGCACTGGTTCATGAGTTATCTTCCCCAGCTTCTGCAGCATCCCTTGCCTGATTGTATGGGTGCTACAAGTGAAAATTAAACATGAATTAATTTAAGAAAGAAATAACTTAAGAAGTTATCTATGTGGAAACGATATGGAAGTGAGAAAACAGACAGTGCAGGCTGAAAATGCTCAGAGTAAGCAAAGTTCCAGGTGAAATGTCAGCAAGAAAATGTTGCCTATTTCATTTATTTCTTTTGAAGTTTCTCCATATGGCTGTATAAAAACAATTGCCTCTAATAAAGCTGTTTTGAATCTTACAGTTCTAAAACTGTGGAGAGTTGTAACATTGCTGTGAAGAGATGTAACAAGGTCTAAGATAGGCTTATTTTAAAATGATACAGAATAACTACTGTGTTCTTCCTACAGTAACACTATTAACGGAGAACAAATTCTTTTGAGTAACAGTTTTCTGTATGAGTCACTTTATTAATTTGCCCTATATTAATTTTGCACAGATCTGTGACAACTTTGTACTATGAATGAGATATTCCAAGGCTGGCACTGTTTATGGAGCAATTAACTGACCTGCCCAGGTGCAATAAAGTGGTTGTCAGAAATAAACACTAAGTATGTTTGAAAAGCCACTATGCTGTTGTAGAAGTGTATAACTATGAGTAAAGCACACATATATGCTTTAGATTTACACCTGTGTTTGAAGTAGAACTGCTCCTTCTGCTCCTGTACTGTATCAGTCCCTAGGTGATTGCACAGGAACTGCTAATACTCTCAGCAAAACACCCAGAGAACCTCTGCCCTGTCACTGTGTCCTGAGCAGAACAAGATGCTTCTGCAAATTGTATGTGCTGTTTGAAATATTTTCCAAGAAAAGTGAACGAAACCAACCTCAGCATAAACCTCACGGTCTAAACCTGCAATGTGTTACTGCATTTAAGTAAGCAACGTGTCACCTATTTCTGAAATACCATTTGCTTCTTTTTAGCTCGCAAATTCACAGACAAGCATGAATGGATATCTGTGCAGAATGGCATTGGAACAGTAGGAATCAGCAATTTTGCACAGGTATTGATCCCTCCCCCCTTACCCAAGCCTGCAATATTTATTTTTGCGTATCTGCTCCTGTCCTTGCTCTTTGGACACTTACAGGGTGTTTTTTTTAATTGTTGTAATTGCACATGCTGCACGCTGAGTGTGATTTTTGGACTGGGATCTTTCACATTATTTGTGATATTTGTGCTACTTTAGCGTTCTGATAAGTTCTTAGTTGCATCAGGTTGAGCCTGTGAAGAGCTGGACTTGATGAGAAACTCAGTGTTTCGGCAGAATTTAAAACTTAAACTTTTATTCAGTTCTAGGCCTGAACAGTTCGTGGTGTGTGAAGAGGACATCATGTACTTTTTTAGGTCAAATTTCCCACTCCATTTCAACATAAATATGGTGAAATCCCTCTGGCTAAAGAACAGTTGTGAATAGATGCACAGCGTGGCACAGATTTCTTGCTCTAGGATAGGAGCTCTTTTAGATTTTCTTGTTTTGTTCTCATGCAGATACTTGATTTGGAGTAGTCATAGGACAGATCAGAAAAGTGAATGGGACAAACTATCAATAAGTGGAATTAATGTTTCTCAGGACAAGCAACATTTCCTGTGATCTCAAGTTTTCAGTCAATAACACTAATACCCTGTAAAATCCTTGGCCTTTTGTGAGATAAGGACCATGTGTCAGGGAAGACCTGAGCCAATTCTTATGGTGATAAGGCTCCCGATGAAGTCAATAAGGACAAACTGTGCTAACAGCTCTCCAGTTGTTCTTTTCTCTGGGGAGGAATCATCGAGTTGCCCTTCATATTGCACTGGGAGTAAATCCTCAGTGCTCTGTAACAAAAAGAGAATTCCCTCAAACATTGGGAACTTTGTCATGTAAAACAGTTGTTACTGTAGCTGATGCTAAGATGATAGATGTTACTCCTCATTCTGCTAGAAGAAATCTGTTTATAAGCTCAGCCTGACAGTTATTAGCACTATAATAGATAAACAATAATTTGTCGGTTTTGGCATGATAACAAAACAGTTTCTTCATGTTGAGTGTTTAAAAAGTGAAAAATATGTAATCCTTAAAGAATGAGAACTACATTTAGAGACACAGACTACTTATGTACAGATTCTAGAGTTACTGTATCAGCTCTCTCCTATGTATACTTGCTTTAATGCAGGGTTTGATGCTTTTGTTTTTCTTTTCAGGAAGCATTAGGAGACGTTGTTTACTGTAGTCTTCCAGAAATTGGGACAAAATTGAGTAAACATGGTAAGTTTCAGCTCTAGTTGCTAATGAAGTAACTGTTCTAGTCATACTGCTCTTTCTTTGCAAATTTTGTGAAGTAATCTTTATGGTCACTGATACCATTAGAAAGCTTCTGGATACAAAATAAATTCAGGTATTTCTACAAGAGACACCTTCAATTTCAACTTCTCACTGTTAGACCATGCATGGTAGCAGAAGGTACCTGCTTGTTAAACTGTGAATACATCTATTACAAATCAAGTATTTGAAATATTTCTTGTAATAATTTTACCTAAGTTCTGATTTTAAAGTATTCATGGTTTGATTTGGACTTGCTAGTGTTCATTTGTGATTCTCCAGTTATGCACTTCATGAGCTGCACGATGTGAAACATCTAATTGATATCAAGCTCTAATTTTTCTGTGAATGTGCACTCAGTAATTTTGGGGTATCAGATGTAATCACAGGGTTTTGCTCATTAGCAATGTACAAATCTCATTGCATTCTTCATCATTCAGTTATGTAATTTTCCATGTTAAAGAAGAATGAGCATTAACAGGTAGAAAGAAAAAGCCTTTACCTGTATTAACACAGAGCTGTCTCCCTAGTATATGAAGAAAAGATTGTCATTAGCCTCAAACATTGCTAAAGAGGATGTAGATTTCTGACCCAAAGCAGTAGCCTTTCTTCTCCCACCCTCCCTGGGGAATAGATCCTTATCAAACTGTTTTGGCCAAATCTATTGCATCACATTGAGTGGTGAATGTGAGACAAAAGGTCTTTCTGTTTAGGATTTTAATTAACCGACTTGTAGTTTTGCTTTGAAGGAATTTCATTTCCATTTAAGTTCTCTTTTCTACCCATTCTGGCCTTAGTCTGATTCCAAGCTTTCCCAGAACAAGCTGTTCTCAGATCCCTTGTGCTGATGCCTATCTACTCTTCTGACAGCTCCGTGTTTCTTCAGCCTCCGTCTTGTTTGCTTGTGGCTTAGAGCTACTCTGGGCTAACACTGCTCCAGGCACCATTTCCATAACTGCCTACAAAACAGGCAAAAGGGAAGAGCAGCTGGGTGCTTCCAGTGCTGTGCCTCTGAATACTAATGTGTGTTTTCCAGTGAGTGCAAATATAACACTTGATAGTGTTTCTGGAGAAAGAACGAGATTCCTGGAATTGTGGCTCTGTCTATTTTGTAACCAAATTATGTATAAGAAGGTTTAAATTGTAGATAAAAGACATATTTAGGTGCCTGGCAGCAAGAATTAACACAATGTCATATCATGTGCTGTGCAGCTTTAGCCAAAGGATTAACCAAATGTAGGGAATTTCTGTCCTCTCTGTAGTAGCTAGTCTTAGGCAAGTTCCCTGGAATAATTCAGGAGCACAAACATCAAATTTAATACAGGAGATCATTGTCACAAACTGGGTGACTTCAATCTGTTTGACATTTTTCTTGCTCAAGATCAAGACATTTCTTTGATGGTTGGGTCATGACCAGAATGTCTGACTGAAAAAGAACTAAGCTCTTTGTGTTTTCCCCTTAAAAGCATTCAATCATATTCTGTTTCAGATGAGTTTGGGGCTTTGGAAAGTGTGAAAGCTGCTAGTGAACTCTACTCTCCTCTCTCAGGAGAAGTGACTGAGATTAATGGTGCCCTTGCAGATAATCCAGGGCTCGTCAATAAATCTTGTTATCAAGATGGTAAGATGTCATTTTATCTTTCAATAATGAATACTGCCTGGATTCTTGCTCCCACAAATGGCTCTGCAATTCCTATTCTTCCAGCTTAATGGTGTGGAGGCTTAATGGAATATATTGAATATAGTTCAAGCCCAATAAAATTTAACATTAAAGCATTATCACAGCCTTGTCTCTGACAGCTGTTTTACAATCTGTTCTTTTCAGACATAGACTCTGCCTGAATTTAAATCTGTTTCCCTTGAAACAGAGGTCAGGCTCCTCTGTTCTTCCTAGACAGTGTCTCCTTAATGCCACTCTCAGTGCCAGCACTAAGTTAGACAACTGATCTGACTCAAAAGGCCATTTCTTCTGACGAGTTGGTTGGTTGGTCATTTTTTAAGGTATTGAAACACTGTTTTGCCTGCACACAAATCTGGTGATCCAGGGCTTGAATGCCTGCTAGAAGTGCTTTCCTCAGGCAGTAACATGAAGGAATCTTTGTTGTAGGATATTAACAACTGTGTTTCTTTTTAATTTCCTAACTACAGGTTGGCTTATCAAGATGACAGTGGAAAACCCTGCTATAGCTGATGACCGAAGATGCCTATGAGAAATACATAAAATCGATTGAGGACTGAGCTGGAATGATGAAATAAATCCATATAAAATATTTCAGTGTAGTTTGTCATCAATCAGTGAAGTACAGAATATCCAGTTTTGGCAACCTGAAAAATGCCATTTATGAGCAGGGATAAAAATGTTTCACATCTGTGTTCCTGCAAGGGCTTTTTATGCTGTTCTCTGATGTATGTAACTTCAGAATGTTACCTATAATATTTAGGGAAACAAAATTTACTAAAATATATACTTCCCAAGATTCATTTGACATCGAATTTAGTAACAACTGCCTTAATATGATACTTTTGTTGTAGGCACATGACTGTTTTTGTAACCTGGACTGCAGCTTTCCCTGAAATGCTTTTCCATTGCTCCCAAGGTAGTGAAAAGCAATGTCCCTAACCTCCTCATATTCCTCCTACTTATAGTTGCAGAGATGACACCAAAAAAGGAGAAGCCATATCAACTACCTCTCTGCATGTTTTGTACTTCTTTACAGAATTTATTAATGCTTTGTTTTCCTTCTAACTACACAATCTAATGGTCCTGCCTGGTATGGTCTTTGTCTTGCCATTTATATACTTACTTAGAAAGCAAAGCTCATGCAATGATAGTTTATCAGGGTTCTAGAATGGATTATTTAGGCTGTATTTTTGTCTAGGGTACATTAACCAACTAGTAATTAAGGAACGGATACTACACCATGTGCCTGAGAACTGTGGTCATTTCAGATGAGCAGATACTTGTGAAAATTGTGTTGATCTGCAATAATTTGATGTATCATGTACCCATGAGGGTCTGTCTTTAAGATCAAGTAGGCAACTGCTCTAATGCCATCATGGGACTGAACTCAAAACCTTCCCTATGCAAACCAGTAAACTAAAGCAGTTGATTCCATTAAACTTAATATTTAATGAATCCATAAATGTGCACAACAACATTCAGGGCCCAGAGAGCTGGAAGCTTGATCCTGGCCTCTTACAGGCTCCCTGCATCTGTCTGGACCTTCCACCCCACTGTGCACTTTCCAAG